CAAGTAGACTCACAAGGAGACAGAAGAAATGAATAATGAGGTATGATCTGATTGGATCTTGCAATGAGGTGATACTGGGGGGCATGATCTGATTGGATCCTGCCAGGGGTGATACAAGGGCTCAATCTGATTAGATCCTGAATTCCACCATGTGATGTCCCTTCTTTATTCAGTCCCTACTTTTTAGTATGAGCACTTGGGTGCCACCTGTGGTCGCATGCCCAGTTTATTGGTGCATGTTCAGGTTATGTGACCTTTAGCTCAGGAGGCTATGGCAATTGAAAAACAGCTCACAACTCTGACACATAAAAGTTGAACCAGGCTAGTCTGCTGAGGTTACAACGTCTTATTTTTGTTTTACCTGTGAGTTACTCACATGGACTCTGGAGCCCAAAAGAGGTCAGATCTATAGTTAATGTTAGGGCTTTGTCAGCTGGGAAAGTGGATGGGATTATCTAGAAAAGGGATTTCGAGAAAATGAGATAATAAGAACAAACAAAAAGCTATATTTAAGTGACTCGTTTGATTTTCTTCAAATTGACTAGAATGTAAATACACGACAGCAAAATTCATGTTTTATTTATTGGTATTACTCCAGAGCCTGCCAAATGCTTGCTACTTCATTATAGTTAACAATGCTGCCTATCACTAATTGATGATCTATTGTGTCTCAGGGACTGTCTTAAATGCTCTACATATACTTACATATTTAGTCTTGACAATAACTCTATGCAGTATATATTTTACGGATAAGGAAACCGAGGCCCAAAAGAGGTTAAGTAACTTCCACAAATTATACAGATGGTAAGTAAACGAGCTAGGATTTGAATCTTGGCAAAACTGGTTCCAGAGTCTATCATCTTAAATACTGTGCAACACAACATATATAATTTAATATGTGTCTGCTGAAAAGAAAGAACAAAATAAATTTTAAAAAAGAAGGAAGGAAGGAAGGAAGAAAATAGAAAATATCAAAGGAAAGATGGGGCCAGGCGCAGTGGCTCACAACTGTAATCCCAGCACTTTTTGAAACTGAGGTGGGCGGATCACTTGAGTCCAGGAATCTGAGACCAGCCTGGGCAACACAATGAAATCTCGTCATTACAAAATAAACAGAAATTAGCGTGGCATGGTGGTGTGTGCCTTTAATCTCAGCTAGTCGAGAGGCTGAAGTGGAAAGATTGCTTGTGCCTTAGAGTTTGTGGCTAAAGTGAGCTGAGATCACGCTACTACATGCCAACCAGGGCAACAGAGTGAGACCATCTCAGGAAAGAAAGAAGGAAGGAAGGAAGGAAGGAAGGAAGGAAGGAAGGAAGGAAGGAAAGAAAGAAAGAAAGAAAGAAAGAAAGAAAGAAAGAAAAGGAAGGAAGGAAGGAAGGAAAGAAAGACAGAGAATGGAAGGAGGGGAAGAAGGAAGGAAGGAGGGAGGGAAAGAGGGAAAGAGGGAAGGAAGGAAAAAAGAAGGAAAAATGAGAGGAAAGTAGGGAAAACAAGAAGGAAAGAAGGGTGGAAAAAAGATAGAGAGAGGGAGGAAGGAGAAAAAATCTTACATTAATTGGGGCCATGTTTGATGATCAGAAGCATGTGAAAACAAAGTTGGTAGCTTGTTTCTACTACACCCCTAAGCCTCTGGAACAAGAAATCTTTCTCACCGAAATTTGTTTTTCTTTGGTTTTACTGAAGTTCCTCCTCTAATCAGAGATTAACAATTTGTCTCTCAGAAAATCCAGTTAAGCCTCTCCTGAATTCTCAAGCATAAACTATCCTGAGTCTTAATCTCGGTCTTGCAATATCTACTTTTTTCTTTCCCTTTGTTCCCATCAGCTCCCAGCTGGTAGTAATGAATTAAGGAGAGTTTCCCATGAGAGAAGGGAAACACTTCTGACCATAGGAATCATCTACTACTGCTTTCAAACAAGTTGTACTGATAAAATATACCAGACGTCTTTTCCAGGAAGTCTACCTCCTGTGAACATATTAGAGATTTCCTGAAAGAAAATATATTAGAGTGTATTAGAGATTTACTCACAGAAAATCTACATCCTGAGTTTATATGTATATCTCTTTATCCCAATTTGGCTGTGAGAATGTTCTGTGACCCTTGTCATGGTCCTGTTTGCTTTCCTATAACCTCTTTCCTATCAAATGTTAATATCCACTTACTGCTATTAGGAAATCTTGACACCTCAACCTGTGCACTGAACAAAATTTCTGATATATACTGAGTATTTAATATATTGTTATAGTAACAGGCTGGATCCCTTGATACCACCCCGAGTCTAGAACTGCAGCAGTGGGTCCTGAGCCTAGAACTGCAAGTACACTGAGTACTCAGGGACTTGGGGCTGTTAGCAAATCTGTGCCTTCATTACCTTCAAACCTGTCCTACTGGATGCATCACATCACGCCACCAACCTCTTAATCCCACATGCTTGGTTCCCTTTTAACGCTAATAGTATTCCACTGTATTGGGAATACTTTTTCAATCCATTCAATACTTTTTTTTTAATTTTATTTTTTTTTATTGTATTTTAGGTTTTGGGGTACATGTGAAGAACGTGAAAGATTGTTGCATAGGTACACACGTGGCAGTGTGATTTGCTGCCTTCCTCCCCATCACCTATATCTGGCATTTCTCCCCATGCTATCTCTCCCCAACTCCCCACCCCCTGCTGTCCCTCCCTTATTTCCCCCCAACAGAGTCCAGTGTGTAAGTGCTCCCTTCCCTGTGTCCATGTGTTCAACACCCGCCTATGAGTGAGAACATGCGGTGTTTGATTTTCTGCTCTTGTGTCAGTTTGCTGAGAATGATGGTTTCCAGGTTCATCCATTTCCCTACAAAGGACACAAACTCATCATTTTTGATGGCTGCATAATATTCCATGGTGTATATGTGCCACATTTTCCCTGTGCAGTCTATCATCGATGGGCATTTGGGTTGGTTCCAGGTCTTTGCTATTGTAAACTATGCTGCAATAAACATTCGTGTGCCTGTGTCCTTATAGTAGAATGATTTATAATCCTTTGGATATATACCCAGTAATGGAATTGCTGGGTCAAATGGAATTTCTATTTCTAGGTCCTTGAGGAATCGCCACACTCCATTTAATACTTGATGAACGATTGGGTTAATTCTATTTTTTAATATGAGTAAAACTGCTATGAACATTTGTGTACAAATCTTCACATGGACATGATTTCATTTCTCTTGAGTAGTTTTCTATGAGTGGATTTGATGGATCATATGGTAAATTTATATCTAACTTTTTGAGACCCCTTGAATTATTGCAAGTACTTTGATTTCTTCTCAACCATCAGAATGCCCAGTCTCCCTGTTCAAGATGAGAAATTAGAGAGAAAATAAAAACTGCCTTGGTTAGCAAACAAACAACAACAACAAACAAACAAACAAACAAACAACCTCCACACACTGAGAAACAGCCTTTTATTCTGTTTTCTGGTTTTTGTTTTCTTTTTTGTTGTGAGACTGGTTATTGCTCTGTCAGAGGCTGAAGTGCAGTAGCAGGATCACGGTTCACTGCAGCCTACACCTTCCTGGCTCAAGTGTTCCTCCCACCTGTCAGCCTTCCAAGTAGCTGGGCCTATGGACACCTGGCTTTTTTTTTTTTTTTTTTTTTTTGAGACAGGCTCCCTCTATTTTGTCCAGCTTGACCTCAAAATCCTGGATTCAAGCTATCCTTCCACCTCAGCCTCCCAAAATGCTGGGATTATTAGCGAGCCACCATGCCCACCCAACATCCTCTTTTTAACTGAGCCTTCTGGCCCCGGAAATGAAGTTCTATGCCGAGAAGACTATGGAGCCTGTGAGTTACTTTCATTTATATTAGCTCTTAGAAAACGGCCTGAGAAGGGACTCTGGGTTGGGCTTCTCCATCACTTCTCCAATACTTCTAACCCTCTGGATGTCAATCCTACCATTTTGTATTCCAAGGGACTTAAATGTGGGCTGGCCAGTGGCAGGTTGGTGTCCATACTGGACAGTTTGGGTGGGGCCAGGAGAATCTCAGAGCATAAGCAGGCTTTGACCCGCAGCGTCATCCATGGGCAATATGGAGGCAGCCATACCAAAAACCCTTGTGAAGAAAGCCACACAAGGGGTATTTTGAAATACCCTTTGCGTGGCTTCTTAAGCCTGCAGACATGAGGTACTCGCTGAAATAGTGACACATGTCTCCATTTCTTATTATGAGATGTCAGTGACCTTCCATTTGCCTGGGGACTGTTCAGAGAAACCTCTTTATACTTAACTCAGCTCTCTCCCTATTGCCCAATCCTTTGTCCTGACTTTGATCTGGACACAGCAGTCTCCTCTTTCCCTATACGTCCCTCCCCAGTCCACCTTCTAAGCCAGGCGATACTCATCTAATCAGTGTCCTCAGGGAGGAACTTTGACATTCTTTTCTTCTGAGAGTTTTCGTGCTATTGAAACCCTATAGTTAGAGTTCTGAGGCTCTATGAGCTTTGCATGTATTCACAGACCTAAAGAAAAACAAAGATTCATTGTCTTCTAGTTATATAGGTCAGAATTACAGATACACACACAAAGCTTTATACATACTTACATGTAATTTTAAACTGATAAATTTTAATGATCGTCTTGCAAACTATGCCACTATGCAAAGGGGTAATCTTTTACTCACTTGTATAATTTTATTTTTTTAATTTAGATATTTAAATTAATATGTTTATATGGAGTATAGGTGTATTATCAGTGTGATGAAACTCTGACACGATTGGAAAGCTACAGTACACTGCAGACAATTTACAATTTCTGGCCTTCGGGTGTTCTCAAAGGCCTCTGGATTGCCGTTCATCGGGTAAGATGAACAGCTTTGCACTGCCGTCTTCCAAAACTATCTTGATCTCCCTTACCACCTGATGGCCACTGGTGACCACACACCTATGGAATCCGGCGGCTGACCCGCGGTGCGGACAATCTGACCCTCCTCCTCCCCTGGTCCCGCCCCTTCCCCCTGAGTCTTTCGGGTTGGGTGGAGGACGCGGCTGCTGCAAGCCCTCTCGGCTCTGATCCACGCCGCAGATTCCAGGTTAGTGAGCAAATTCATTTTCTGGCCAGCCACCACTGTCCCTACTTGTCTGGAGAGTTTGACCCGCCCTGTAGGTCGCGTTGGGGGTTCACGGGTGGAAGAGGAGCGAGGGAGACTTCTGCAGTTCTGAGTTGACTCAAGTTTGGGAAGGGAGTACAGAAGAGGCACCTTTGCGGCTAGGCCGTGCAAAGGGTAGTGAGAGTTAAACGTCGATTCCAGAAGCTGAAGTTATGCAGGGGAGGCAGCTCTGGAAACTTCGCGTTAGGGAGTCGCGGCAAACCGTGCGTCAGGCCTGGATTCGGGGTCAGCATCCCTTCCCCCCATCCCCTCCCCCATCTCCCGCCCGGCCACTCCAGGAAGTCAGCACCATTTATCCTCCAACCCAGGCGGCCCCTGGGAGGAGTCTCCCAGAGAGTTGGGAGATGAGCCTTCCGCTGTCTCTAGACCTCTGGGTCTGTCTGTTCAAAGGCCAAAGGCTGGCGGAGGAGGGAGTCCCCGCCTTCCCCGCACCGGAGCGCGAACATGCGTGGTTGAGTTTAGGTAAAAGACGAGTGAGCGCGCTCTGTTCCTTAAAATTAGTTTAAGACGCCTTGGATTGCTCTGAAGAACTTTGGCCACCTGATACTGCTTACATCTGGAATTTGTCTGGCTTCTCGTTCCGCAGGTGTGCCAGTCGGAGAGGGATGTCTACCGTTCTGTTGACTGGCTCTTATTGTCACTTCTGGCAGAGGTGACAGAGCAGTGAAAGAGATAGGTCCTTTCCCTTTCGGAACTCATTATATAGATAATTTTATCTTTATTTTTCTTCCTCACTGCAGGTGAGCCCACTAAAGTTAAAGACATTTTATTTAATCATTCAACAGAGACAGAAATGTGTGGTTAGCAGCATAGTTGCTGCAGCCAGACTGATGTGTTCAAATCCTGATTCTGACAGACACTGGCTGTGTGCCCAAAGACTATAAACCTGACTTATTTGAGCTTTGGTTTTTTTCCATTTATAAAGCGAACGGAGTAATATGTATATCCTAAAGTTTTGGTGAGGATTCAGTGAGACAGATTTAAACACGTAGAAGGCTGCCTGACGATGTTGAAATTATGGTCATTATTACTGGCAAACTCCATGCCTAGCTTTAAAAAAATGCCCAATCAAAACAATTTTTAAATTACAGGTTTCTTAAATACAGGGAGTAGAAATGCTTTTGAAGTGGAAATTAATTTTTTTTTGAAACCATATTCCAATTCAAATATTTATTGAGTCCTATCTGTTGATAGTCAATTCCAGATAACAGGTTAAATATAACCCTACATAAAGATTTTTAAAGGTGTTATTCCTAAAGTGCAAGAACTCATGCCCAACCCACTTATAAATGCAACTGCCACGCATTTTATTCCACTTTCACCAGAGCTCCCTGCTGGTGGACAGGCCTGCCCTGTCAACAGCCTCCAGCCTACACCAGCCCCGGTATCCCCTGCTCAGTCACTGATTGTTATTTTGAAAGCCATTTTGATATGATGTGAGCTTCCACTCTAGTAGATGCTTCATATCTAAATAGAAAGCCATTCTCTGTCCCCCTCCCTCTTCTAGCTGTTTTGTGCCCTAAATTGTGTCCACTTTTGGGAAAGAGGGTCCTTTCTCTAGGGCAGTGCTTCTGAAGCCTTAATGTGCATAAGAATCACCTAGAGAACTTATTAAAGTGCAGATTCTGAATCATTCCAGGAAAGACAGATTCTTCGTAAAGAACCCCCAGTGTTGCTGGTTAGCAGACCTTCTTTTCTGGCATCTGGTTCTGATTTAATTGGTCCCACCTGGTCATGAATCTGGGCTCTTTCTACTGCTAATTTGATTCACTGGGCTCTGGGACTGCGGGCTCTCCTGGTCTGCACTCCTCACAGTCAGAATGCCTTCTCTCACCACTCTGGAGACTTGGTCTCAGTTGGAAACTGGCAGCCTCCCATGTCTCCCTTGGGCTGCACTCAGCTGCAGTGGGCAGTAAGGGCTGCTGGTGTGTGGGCAAGGGTCACTCAAATCTAATCTAAATGTATGCTTCCCTCCTTCACAATTCTTTCCCAAGCTTCAACTTTCACAAGAGACTTCAACTCTCACATCTTTTTTCTGCTCAAGAATTTTTCTCTAAAGCAGAGTAATATTATGAGATGAATATTTAAAGCAGCGTATTGCATAGAAAAAAAGACATATAATCAAATAGAAATAGAATGAAGCCACATAGGTAATTTTACATATTCAAGTAGCCTCATTAAAAATAAGCAGGCAAAATTCATTTTAATATATTTTATTTAATCCAGCATATGCAAAATCCTGTTAGGATATGATATGTTCAATATAAAAATTATTAATAAGATACTTTAATTTTTTTAAACTAAATCTTCAAAATCCAGTGTGTATTATGTACTTAAAACATCTCATTTCTGAGTAGCCACACTTCAAATGCTCAGTAGTCCCATGTGGCTCCATGTTTGACAGCACAGTTCCATTATGCTTTGAAGATAAGAAACCAAGCCTTTAATTTTTCTTGTATTTTTTTGTTCCTGTCAGGCTCATTGAGTTATAATTTATATCTAGTAAGTTACAAATTTTAAGCATAACGTACAATTCTGTGAGTTTTCGGTTGTAGTCAGTTGTGTAACCACCACCGTAATCATGATATATAAAGGGTATTTCCATCATCCTTCAAATTTCCTTATGCCCTTTGCAGTTCATCTTCTTCTCCCACTCCTGGGCCCTGGCTTCCACTGATGTGCTTTCAAATACTATAGCTTTCTCTTTTCTAGGATTTCATATAAATAGCATCATACAGTAACTTAAATTTGATGTCTGGGTTCTTCCACTTTGGATAATGCTTTTGAGATTTATCTTGTATGTATTAGCAGTTTGTGTCATAATAAGCCATTGTATGGATATAGCACAGTCTGTTCATTTACCAGTTAGTGATCTCATGGATTCTTTCCAGTTTGGAGCTCTTACTACATTCCATTTATGAGGCAGTAATTCTCCAAGAGAATTGGGTGTACTAAGTACAGTTTTGTCTGAAATGAAAGTGTGCATGTGTTTGTTGAGGAAGATGGATTAGAATTGGACTTTCAATTAAAATATATCAAGCTGAGCATGGTGGCTTACACCTATAATCCCAGCGTTTTAGGAGGCTGAGGCGGGCAGATCTCGAGGTCAAAATATCAAGACCATCCTGGCCAACATGGTGAAACCCTGTCTCTACTAAAAATACAAAAATTAGCTGAGTGTGGTGGCACATGCCTGTAGACCCAGCTACTCGGAAGGCTGAGGCAGGAACATCACTTGAACCCGAGAGGCCAAGGTTGCAGTGAACCAAGATCATGCCACTGAACTCCAGCCTAGAGACAGAGCAGGACTTGGTCTGAAAAATAATAATAGTAATATAATATCAACACAATTATTTTTTAACAGTAACAGTTTCATAAGACAGCACATTTATTTCTATACTCCAGTGCCAACATCAAGGCCAACTGTAAGCTCAGCAGTAAGTTGTAATTTTCAATCCATTATTAAGTTAATTGATTATTTCCTGTGTTAGTTGCCGTGCTAAGGTCTAGAGCACCTGGAAGATAAAGTGAGACTGGGTGTCTGCCCTCATAATGCTTTATCAAAGGCAAGAGAACCTTATAGTGCAATGTGCTAAGTGAGATGATATGGGTATGGTAGGCAATATTGACAAAGGAAATAATAATGCAGTTCTCATAGATGTGATTAATTCAGTTAAAATGTCTCAGATGATAGGTAAATACATCTGTCATATGAATTGGTACTGCCAGTTAGATGTACAGAGTTCATTAATTTGTTAAAAATTATATTTTGCACACTTTTTGGAGATGAGGAATATATAAAGGAGTAATAAGAGCTCCAGCTCTGTAGCCTGTGGATCTGCATTCAAAACCGGCCCCACCACTTGAAGGATCTACTAAATCTCAGCAACTATGAAATGAGATTTAAGGGACATTCATAATGTTGTTATATGGAATTATTGAGTTGTTCCATACAAAATAATTAAATTTTTGCTGAGTACATAATGGTCTGTAAATATTTGCTATGAGCATTGCTGCTACTAAGCACGGCAAAGCTGAAGACCCAGGCCAATACTTGCAGGAGCACCGTAGAACACTAGATGGCAGCACCGAGGACCTGTTTTCAGCTCACTGGATCCTCCAGCGGGGCCCCTAGGAGGCTTATGCTTATGTCCCATGACCTTTTCTTACCCTTATCTGAGACATTTTCTCAGGCCCGTTCTTCTAGAGAGAGTGTTGTTATTAAGAGGCAATTTGATACACTTTCTAAATCTATCAGGCCCTCAAGATGGGGGTAAATTGGTACAATTTACAGGACCTGTGTTTAGGCCCACACAGACCATGTTTTTTACGTCAGTATACATTTGTTTTTGCTAGGAAACCAGCCAAAGACAAATTAGAGAATTCCGCCTGCTCCCTACCTACTGTGGCCCGTCCAGTACAACACGGTCACACACGGGACCATGGCCAGAGCACCTTCAAATAGGCAGTGTTAGCTGGCTTTTCTTTGGTGTCCCAAACACAACTCCAGGTAGAAAAGCAGAACAGATGTCCCCCAATGAAAATAATTCAACGCTGGAAACCGTTTTTAAAAATTTCCAAAGCGTATTCTCGGTGTGATTTTGAATAATGGTCATGTAATTTATCAACGGAACTCTTCCGAGAAAAATGAATAGAGAATAAAGATAGTATTTCTCAATGAAGATATAAGGCCTCAACTACCTTACCAGCCACCTCTCCTTACATATGGGCCCCCTTGGGATCCTGTTGAAGTTTAAGACAGGCCCTGGCAAAATCCCATCATCAAATAGGATCTCTCCCGTTTCCATACTTCCAAAACACTTGGTCCATGCCTGACCTTTACAGCCTTTACAACTGACTGTCTTTGGTTAAAGTTATGAGTTTGTGGGCAAAGCTCTGAACTGGGACCCTGGAAAGGTTAGATTATGCCAATTCTACAACTTACAAGATGCATGATTTTGTAGTCACTTAATGTTTCTTCTTATTGAAGAATTGAGAATACTCTTATTTATGCAGAGTTGTCCCATGAAGGATAGAGAAAGCAGGAGGATGTGATTTCTAAATCACAACTGGTGACAGAATCATTAGTTGTTAAAAATATTACCACCCCCCAGGCTGGACACAGTGGATTATGCCTGTAATCCCAGCACTTTGGGAGGACGAAGTAGATGGATCACTTGAGGTCAGAAGTTTGAGACCAGCATGGCCAACATGGTGAAACCCTGTTTCTACCTAAAATGCAAACATTAGCTGGGTTTGGTGGCACACATCTGTAATCCCAGCTACTCTGGAGGCTGAGGCACGAGAATTGCTTGAACCTGGGAGGCAGAGTTTGCAGTGAGCTGAGATCATACCACTGTACTCCAGCCTGGGCAATAGCAAGACTCAGTCTCAACAACAACAAAAAATGACCTCCCCTTATTGTGGCCATTGCTGTTTCTTTGTTTTTTGTTTTTTTTCTGAGAAGGGGAGCCTCTTGGGTGAGAGGGCTCTATGTGGAGCAGGGCTGTTAAGAGGTGGAAGTGTTTGCACAGTTTTGGAGATCAGATACCAGAGAGTAATGCCAGAGTGATGGTAAAGAGGTGAAAGAGCTCATGAGAAAAGTCACAGATAATCATCATTGAGGATGAGAGGGTTCTGACTTTTCATTCATCAAAAGGTGAGGACCTATATGTCAGGCTCTGTGCTAGCTGCCAAAGATGCAACCATGAACAAAAACAGTCTCTGATCTCATGGGGCTTACATATCATTGAGAGGATTCAGGAAGTAAAGATCTATGTTTGTGTAAGAAGTAAAATAACGAGGCACGTATGTGGAGAGTGACTGTATGGTGGCTATGCTTTAAGTAGACTCCTCAGAGCAGACCCTTCTGATAAGGGAATAGTTAAGAAGCTAGTAAGTCATGCAGATAGCAGAGTAAAGGGTCATCCTTACATCATGAACAGCAAAGGCAAAAATTCTGAGGCAGCAGTGTGTTTGGGGCACTTTTAACATTGAGGATATGTTTTGGGTGAGAAAAGGTCACATGGGCCAGGCATGGTGGCTCATGCCTGTAATCCCAGCATTTTGAGAGACCAAAGCAGGCGGATCGCTTAAGGTCAGAAGTTCAAGACCAGTCTGGCTAACATGGTGAAACTCTGTCTCTACTAAAAATACAAAAATTAGCTGGGTGTGGTAGCATGTGCCTGTAATTCCAGCTACTCGGGAGGCTGAGGCAGAATTGCTTGAACTCTGGAGGCAGAGGTTGTAGTGAGCTGAGATCACACCACTGCATTCCAGCCTAGGTGACTGAATGGGTCTCCTTCTCAAATAAAAGAAAAAAGAAAAGGTCACACAGACAGTGACTTACACAGGCCCCTCCTTCCCAGGACTTCAGTTTGTCACTCCATTCAATAGGAGCAAGAAATCATAACCACTGCTCTCACACGGGAAGAAATTGATGTCTTGTGTGAGCTAGGATAAAGAACGTGTTGGCAACTAGAATGAGAAGCCCTTGTTACCCCAGATGTCTGACCTCTTTGTCCAAGACTGGACAGTCAGTATCCCTTCTTTCTCCCTGCTTTCTTACCATGACCCTTTTTTGTTTGCTTATCTACCTAGGATTCTACAAGCAAGAGATATCTTAGAAATCAGGGCTGGGCAGGCAGGAGCCAGGAAAGGGGCCACAATGACTTCAACAGTACTGGTGGACATACAAGAAGAGGTGACCTGCCCCATCTGCCTGGAGCTCCTGACGGAACCCCTGAGCTTAGACTGTGGCCACAGCTTCTGCCAAGCCTGCATCACACCCAATAGCAGAGAATCAGGGATTGGTCAAGAAGGGGAAAGAAGCTGCCCTGTGTGCCAGACCAGCTACCAGCTTGGGAACCTGCGGCCTAACCGACACCTGGCCAACATAGCGGGGAGGCTCAGAGAGGTGGTGCTGGGCGCTGGGAAGCAGCCGAAAGCAGTTCTTTGTGCAGACCATGGAGAAAAGCTGCAGCTCTTCTGTAAGGATGATGGGAAGGTCATTTGCTGGCTTTGTGAACGGTCTGAGGAGCACCGTGGTCACCACACGTTCCTCATGGAGGAGGTTGCCCAGGAGTACCAGGTGGGACCCCAGGGTGGAGGGGGAGATGGAGAAACAGGTTCTTTGGTAGATTTTATCATTTCGTCATGCTCTGATCTAATTCTTTATAGTCCTTTCATTTACCTAGAGAAGGAACCTGGAAGCTCCCTCCCTGATTAAGAGTAGAGACTTTATCTCTTACTTGCTATACCAGATTGAGTAGACAGAGCTGCTGGGGGAAAAGCGGGTACTTGGTTGATTGAGTATGGAGACATGTTGGTAGTGAAGGTAAAGAAATTTATTTACCTATGTATTTATTTTGAGACGGAGTCTCGCTCTGTCACCCAGGCTGGAGTGCAGTGGCGCAATCTTGGCTCACTGCAACCTCTGCCTCCCAGGTTCAAGCAGTTCTCATGCCCAGCTTCCCGAGTATCTGGGGCTACAGGTGTGCACCACTGTGCCCAGCAAATTGTGTGTGTGTGTGTGTGTGTGTGTGTGTGTGTGTTTAGTAGAGGTAGCGTTTTGCCATGTTGCCCAGGCTGGTCTCAAACTTCTGAGCTCAGGCAATCTACCTGCCTGAGTCTCTCAAAGTGCTGGGATTACAGGCATAAGCCACAGGTGTTTTGTGGTCAGGCACCTTCCCAAGGAGGATGGAGAATCAGCCTATCCCTATTGGTTTTCATCCCCTGTATATAAAAGATATGTTGGCCTTCTCTCAAGTTTTCATCCTAGGTTAGGAAAGGCTTCTTTTGAGGTTAGCAGAATCTCTGTCCTATTCATTCCGTGTCAGGCTACTGAGTCACCTGAAGGCTTGATCCTGCTGAACGTGATTTGTTTCTTGCAGGAGAAGTTTCAGGAGTCTCTGAAGAAGCTGAAGAAAGAACAGCAAGAAGCTGAGAAGCTAACAGCTTTTATCAGAGAGAAGAGGATGACCTGGAAGGCAAGGAGGACTTTTTCTGAGGACATCCTGGGGCACGAATCGGGGCAGGTCATAGGAGCTGAAGGCAAAGGAGTCCTGGTCCTGCCTGTCCTCTGATACCATGACTAGAAGAGCTTTCTTTTGCCTGGTCTTCCGCTGTATTCCTTCCAAACAGGGGGAGGAGAGGGGAGCTAAATAGCAAACATATCGAAACTGAACCGAGACAATCACATAGCAGAGGACCCATGGTTAGGGGTTGCCCAATTCATAATTCTGGATCTTGCTCTACAGTTTCAGTCTCTTTGGCTTCCTGGGAATGACAGGTTACTCACAGGCCAGTAATTTCTTCCTCAGTACTCAAAATTGGTGAGGGAGGCTTCCTGGAATCTAGACCTCACCCAGGAATCACAGTTGATATCTAGAAGGCCTAGATAAAGCATCCTGGGGGTAATGGTATGGGCAGAGCTGAAGGGAGAAAAGAAGGAAAAAACAGCCTGCATAGGCTTTTCCCTGCAGCATTTACCCTCCCTCTCCCAGAGAGCCTGGCCTAGGAAAGCAGTCTTGAATGCAACTCCCCCACTTTTTATAGGGGAGACCCTCAGTGCAACAGACTAGCAGCCTCTTTTTCTTCCCTGTTCCTGAAGAATCAGATGGAGCCTGAGAGATGCCGGATCCAGACAGAGTTTAATCAGCTGCGAAACATCCTAGACAGAGCGGAGCAGCGGGAGCTGAAAAAGCTGGAGGAGGAAGAGAGGAAAGGGCTGTGTATTATAGAAGAGGCTGAGAATGACCTGGTCCACCAGAGCCAGTCGCTGAGAGAGCTCATCTCGGATCTGGAGCGTCGATGTCAGGGGTCAACAATGGAGCTGCTGCAGGTAAGGCTTGGGAAGGAGCCCAGATCAGAGACTCAAGGAAAAGAGAAACTAACTTTCTTCCTTTCTGGGGCATCAGACTACCATCACTGCGGGGACAAGAAAAAACATTCCTTTGGCACTATAGTGCCTATTTCCTATTAAAATATTTAGAGGTGTAGAGCAAAGCATAAGATAATTCAGAGTACAGATGCAAGGGAAAATCCCCCCCTCCTTTTTTTTGAGATGGAGTCTTGTTTGCTGAAGTGCAGTGGCACAATCTCAGCTCACTGCAACCTCTACCTCCTGAGTTCAAGCGATTCTCTTGCCTCAGCCTCCCAAGTAGCCGGGATTACAGCCACCCGCCACCACGCCCAGCTAATTTTTGTATAGGGTTTTACCATGTTGTACAGGCTGCTCTTGAACTTCCGATCTTAACTGATCTACTCGCCTCGGCCTCCTAAAGTGCTGGGATTACAGGCAGGAGCCACCGCTCCTGGCCTCCCACGTTTATTTATAAAGGGTGGTCTGAAAGTTTATTTGATGCTGTGGAGAAGATCTGTTGCATCCAGTGATGTTCTTTATGTTCTTTCTTTCTGAGTCTTGGCACAATTTACATTTCTGGCTGGATAATTCTTTGCTGCCAGGCGGTCTCCTGTACACTGTCGAAAACTTAGCAGCATCTCTGGCCTCTGCCCACTAGATGTCAGCAGCACCACCCCAGATATGACAGCCCCAAATTTCTTCAGACATTGCCATGATAGCTCCAGGGGGAACACAGTGCTGTCCCAGTTGAGAACCACTGTTTTTTAGGCATCTCTTGTCTCTGATGCTGTATTGGGAATTCGTCAAGTGCTTCTTACCCAGCTTAGTTACAGGCAAACTTATGCTAAACTGAATTCTTAGACATGATGTATTAGCAGCCTTTCTTTGTTTTCAGTCTCTTCTATAAAGTGAAATCATTTAAGGTACTGTAGTAATAGATATTTGAACAAGTGTCTGAGGTCTGGGCTCTGGTCTGTATGTATGCAGGTTGAAGATTACAGGGTATCAAGCCTAGAGAGATTGGATGGAGGGACTTGAACTGAGGTTGAAGTTCTAGCAGCTGTTTTCTGCATAGAATGAATAGCATGGCTGTGAATTTGAGGCTCGAGCTACCTTGTGATGTTCTGTAACCTCCAGAGTGTAAGACAGTCTTTGTTTTATTTGCCCTCGTGCTTTCCTCTTGCTCTTTGTTTGTTGATGGAATAATTATTCATTTACATATTCTTGGGCCCTAGTATTAGAGCCATGTGGTAGATACTTTCTACCTATTAGAGCTTTTTCTCACTCACTGCCTTCTGCGTTGCATCTTCATTTTACTCTCGCCTTTTTGTCTTCCTCATTGATAGTGTTACCTGATACTTTTCTCCTTCACTCTTTTGTTCTGGCTCCTCAACACTACTCAAACTGTGAATATTTTTTAGGCTGGGTGCAGTGGCTCATCCCTGTAATCCCAGCGCTTTAGGAGGCTGGGGCAGGTGGATCGCAAAGTCAGAAGATCGAGACCACCCTGGCCAACACTGTGAAACCCTGTCTCTACTAAAAATACAAAAATAATTAGCCAGGCACGGTCATGTATGCCGGTAATCCCAGCTACTCAGAAGGTTGAGGCAGGAGAATCTCTTGAACCCAGGAGGCAGAGGTTGCAGGGAGCCGAGATCACCCCACTGCACTTCAGCCTGGGTGACAGAGCGAGACTCTGTCTCAATTAAAAAAAAAAAAATTAATGCAAATGAATCATCAATTCATGTTGCTAGTTTAGATACTTCCACATTCATTAGTATGACTGCCCAATACACATTTAAACTTGAGTCTTTTCTAACAATACATTTCCTGGAATTTTCCCATCGTAGACATTCTTCCTTCTCTTTTCCATATCTGTGTGAATTGCTGCCCATTAAGGTTTTATAGCCAAGATAAAAGCTTCAACATATGGACACTGACATAAAGCCAGAATAAGAGAAGTCGCCGCGAAATGACACATTGATTTCCTCATTTCAGTTCCTCAGTATAGCCATAATGTTAGATGGATACGGTCCTGGGTGATTACTGCAGACTGACACACACACACACCTCCGCCATGCTCTTTGTTCAAGGTAGTTTGAGTTGTGTCTCTATGAAATGCCACCATAATACAGCCCTACGACAGATAAAATAGTTAATCCTGTGTTCTATGGACCAAAATTAGGCTTTTCTTTGGGGTCAGTGAGATGTATGGAGCAGGAAATAAAAGAACCAAATGGAAGGGAATAGGCCAATTCCATTGAAATGAGACCGGCAGTGGCAGTGATAAAGGTGAACAGCTGTTGGCTAAATGAAATTAAGGGTGTGAAGTCGACTGACTGGGGCAAAGATAGGATGCCAGGGTAAATATGTGGTAGTTACTACCTATTTTATTTAAATTTGGTGACTAAGGGTTACTAGTATGATTCACTAGGGTAGAAGGGAGACAAGAGTTTCAGGAATGATCTGTATTTTAAACATCTTGCATTTAAGGTGCCTGTGACTCATTTGCTGGTCTAGATATTAATCAAAATCATAAGAAAAGAGAGCTGAGCAGAAGCCCAGATTTGAGAATCATCACCATGTGTGTGTTAAAATGAAGGAAATGGATGAAGTCAGCAAAGGTAGGGTAGAGGGTTAGAGAAGGTGAAGTTTGAGAAACAACCATATTTAAAACCCATGAGCTTTATCTTCAGCAAGCAGAACAGAATGTAAGCTTCTCAAGGATGGAAATTATGACTTCGTCATATGAGGGTCTCTAGGGCCAGGCACAATGCCTGACAAATAATACATGCTATACGTACATTACATTACACACACATATGCACACACACAGTGTTGTAAAAAATCAAGACACTGATGAATTAATTGAGTTATATTTTGGTGTCTTCACATGGGTTCTTAGGGACAGTCTCCCCTGGGTTTTTATCTCTACTTTGTGGCCTCCACATTAAGATTATCTTTATTTCTATCATTTCAGGGGGTGGTGGAAATGGAAGGAGAAACGCGAATAAGGGCATGACCTGTTACTCCTTGACTTAACCTGTCTTTTTCCTCCTAGGATGCGAGAGATGTCACAGAAAGGTATGTGTAGGAGAACATGAGGTAGTTCCCTTGGACTGACAAATGATTCCTTTAACCATGATCAGTGGGAAAGCAAAAAAGAATCAGAGTAGGGAAGATTCAAGACTGTGGTCTTGAATTGTGCATCACATGAGAGTTTTGGCATCCTCAAATAAAGGGAATGAACTGGCTTCTATGGTAGGAAAATGTGGGTGATGGGAGGTCACCAGCTGGGGACAGTACTGCTAGAGTCAAGAGCTGCAGTATCAGTGACTCTCCAAGCACCCACTTAAGTGTACTGTTCCATAAACCTCTGTGCATCCTTTCATCCCTGATTCTTAACTTTATAGTTACTCAAAAATACACAGGAATTTTCTTTGCCCATAAATTGTTTATTTATTTTTTATTTTTTATTTTTTTGAGGCAGAGTCTGGGCATTTGCTCTTGGGATATCTGCCGTAAGTTTTTCTTTCTCCCAGCCCTTGCTCCCTAGCAGATTTTCTTTTGTCTCAATTCCAGTAAAAACATAAACCTGAGCTCTTGAAAATAATAATTTAGCCCAGGAGCCAAACATGTTCTCTGTCACATACTCCAGAGTCTCATCCGACAAGGTGACATCTCAAGTTGCTCGCTCACTTGGTATCTTCATGCTTCTCACAGACACATGAAATACAAAGCCTATTGTCCCTTCTGAAATCTGCATTCTCCATTTGGAGGTGAGGACATCTTTTCTCCAGCTGGCAGCATAACATTCCCAGAGACAGCAAATTCTAAAATGCTGTTTTGAAGGTTTTTTGAGAAATCCTAAGGCCTAAGCCCACAGACTCTTCTGAATAAAACTCTTCACTCTCAGAGCCCCAGCAACAGGCTCCTGGTGTTCTGCCTGTCAGCCCAGACATCTTCAGCCCCTCTGACTTAAAATATTTTATATCTTTTTTTAGAGGTAGCAAAAGATTTCCCAGCTATTATTTTACTGAATTGCATAACATCTCTAGAGCATACAGAAAGGAAAATTATTTTATTTTCTAAAAACAACAACGGAAAATAAAAATGAGGCTTTATGAAGTTAAATCTTACAAAAGTTTATGTAGATGGGGAGATGATAGTTTCTAGTCTAGGTCTCCTGGCTCCAGTGCCAGGGCTGTTTGTAGAACGATGCTATGTTTCTTCCAAAAGGAGGATTGAAGTTCATCTGTAGGCTTGGGAGGTAAAGAGAGACAGGGGTTGACAGGTGCTGCAGTCCCACACAGTCAGCAGTGTGGGAATTCAGAAGTCCTCTCCTTTCTAGGAGTGAGTTCTGGACCCTGAGGAAGCCAGAAGCTCTCCCTACAAGGCTGAGAAGTATGTTTCGAGCCCCAGATCTGAAAAAGATGCTGCGAATGTTTAGAGGTAAGGAGATTCAGGGAAAAGAGTTTGGATGTGGAGTTACTGTTGTGGGAAGAAATAAACAGCATAGAGGATATGGTCTACTTATAGAAATAAACAGCAAAAAGGTATTTGAGCAGAGTGGCAAAGAGGGAGGTCCCAGCGGGAGAGACATAGTGTGCTGAAGAAGATGTAGTTTGTATTTAAGGGGAGATGAAATGGCCAGGGACATCCTCACAGCATTCCTCACCATTCCTCTCAGTTTAGTAAGGAGAGAGATGCCAGATATGAGACAATTGGTCCTTTTCAACATTATTAACTCTTTTTGTCATTACAGAGCTGACAGATGTCCAAAGTTACTGGGGTAAGTAGAATCGGCGGCCTCTTGCTGTGGGCTGGCACATTCTGATCTTTCACATGCTCCTCCCCAGTCATATCCACCCAGGTCCTAGATGTTGATGCCTGCCCCATCCCCACCAGATAGTTCCAGTTCCTCCAACCACTTCCTGTGTTTCCACTTCTCAGCTTAATGAGACCCATGTCCCCATTCTCATCTGCTGATGTTGTACCTTTTCCTACAGTGGACGTGACTCTGAATCCGCACACAGCTAATTTAAATCTTGTCCTGGCTAAAAACCTTAGACAGGTGAGGTTTGTGGGAGCTAAAGTATCTGGACCTTCCTGTCTGGAAAAGCATCATGACTGTAGTGTCCTGGGCTCCCAGCACTTCTCCTCTGGAAAGCATTACTGGGAGGTAGATGTGGCTAAGAAGACTGCCTGGATCCTGGGAGTATGCAGCAATTCAGTGATACCTGCATTCTCTTTCAACCAGTATGCTAAAAATCACACTACTTATTCCAGATACCAGCCTCAGAGTGGATACTGGGTGATTGGGTTACAGCATAAACATGAATATAGGGCCTATGAGGATTCTTCCCCTTCCCTGCTCCTCTCCATGACAGTGCCCCCTCGCCGTGTTGGGGTTTTCTTAGATTATGAGGCTGGCACTGTCTCCTTTTATAATGTCACAAACAATGGCTTCCCCATCTACACTTTCTCTAAATATTACTTTCCCACAGCTCTTTGTCCGTATTTTAATCCTTGCAACTGTGTGATTCCTATGACCCTGCGTCGTCCAAACTCTTGAATATTCTTCTGTTTTCACCCACTTCTGATAAGTACCCTGAGGCTAATCAGCATGTGGTTCTCTCTTCTGATCTTCTGATTTTCTGTGTTCTCAATTCTTTTCTTGTTTGGTTTTGTTTTTTGTTTGGTTTTGTTTTTTGAGGTAGCATCTCGCTGTGTTCCCCACGCTGGAGTGCAGCAGCAAGATCTTGGCTCATTGAAACCTCTACCTCCTGGGTTCAAGCGAACCTCCTGCCTCAGCATCCCAGGTAGTTGGGATTACAGGTGCCCACCACCACACCCAACAAATTTTTGTATCTTTGTAGAGATGGAGTTTCACCGTGTTGGCCAGGCTGATCTTGAACTCCTGACCGCAGGTGATCCACCCACCTCAGCCTCCCAAAAGTGCTGGCATTACAGGCATGAGCCACTGTGCCCTGCCGATTCTTTTGTTTTAAACATTTGCTCAATACTAAGATGACCTAGTGCTGAGAGTAAACATCTTTGACTGATGACAGGTCTTGAGGTGGACAGGGGGCGCTTTCAGCATTTTGCATAGTATTAAGCACAGTATTTGATGCAGGTTTTTTTTGGTTGATGCAGGGGATCAAAGTTAGGAAGTTCTCACCTGTTAATTTGCTATAGGTTTTTGTATAAAATGAAAAATTGTATTCAACCAATGTCTTTTCTGTAAATTATTGAGATAATTGTGTGTTATTTTTATTCTGTTAACGTGGCTTAGTACATTGATTCACTTCAATTTGTTATATCTGCCACAGATTACTGACATACGTCGTTACTTGTTGTATGCAATACTGGATTTATTTTGCTAATATATCGTTTAGATTTTGTTTTCATCTATGTTAATGAAAGAAATTGGCCTGTATTTTTACATTCTTGTAATATCTTTGTCAGGTTCTATAAAATTCAGTAATAAGCAAATAAAATACCATGTTTTTGTATAAGTATGTATAGGATTGAGCTCTAAAACAAAACCCTTATAATGATAATTTGGGTAGCTTCAAACTCAGATTGAAGAGATTGTTCTCCAGTCTTTACTAGAGTGTTCACTACAAACTTCAGCCTTTCTCTTTACATCTAAAAGTAGCAATCGTTAATTGAAATAATAATAAAAAGGTAGTGGGGAGAGAAAAAGCATCCAATACATATTTTTCTCTCAGAATAGAAAGAAAATAAAGAGAAAATGTGATTAATATAAAGCACTTACAGGAAGAGGATTATTTCCTCCAGCTTTTCCACACTCTATGCTTAGAAACAAACAGCTGGTGAGTGAGCGGCTGTGGCTTTGGTAGAGAGGTGCAATATGTTTCTTGAGTCAGGTATGAAAGAAATTATGAGGTACATGTGAAGGTAGAAACAAATATCAGGGAGGACTATGGCACTGGCTGTCCCATAGGGTATCCAAGAGCCACCAGTGTCTATTGAGGACTTCACATACGACTAGTCCAAATGGAGATAAACTATAAAATTTATGCCAGATTTTAAATACCTCCTTCAAAAAATAATGTAAAATATCTCACTGGTAACTTTTTCTTTGTGTATTACAATGATAATATTTTAGATCTATTGGATTAAACTATGTTATTCTGAAGCAGGAACAGCCTCAAGAAGCAGACCTCTTGGACACCGAACTAGGAAGCAAGAGGTGTTTTATTTTGGCTGGGAGCGAGGCGACCTGTTTGTCCAATAGCCAAGCTCTTTTAACAGAGAAGCTCTGCCTTTATATAGGCTTACAATTCTAGATATTACACATGAAAGGGTCTTGTGTTTACAGTTTTAGAAATTACAGGTGAAAGGGTCTTGGTCAGTGGAGGAGTGGGGTGGGGATTTGATCTTGTTTAAGTAAAAACAATGCCTCCTGGAGAGATCCCCCCATACTATGCCTGCTATCTACAGGCCCAGGGTTTTCTTCTATTGAAATGCAGTGTGGAAGTTAATAGGGAGGTGATCCTAGATGTTTGAGTCTACTTTCTCAATTCATTTTACCCAATTCATATTCATTTTCTCAATTCATTTTACGTTTCATTTTACTTTAATGTGGGTAGTAGAAACTTTAAAATTACATATGTGGCTTACATTGTATTTCTATTGGACAACCCTAGAGTAGATCCTAGAATGAAATTTCTGTCCCTAAGAGAGCCCTAGTGTAAAAGCCTATGGACTTGGGATATAGAGAGTTTCAAAGCACATATGTTTACCTCTACAATAACCTACCCTTTCACAGCTGCCCTGAGGCATTTTTATAGAAGGTAATGCCAGAGAAAAGAAGATCTCAACATATCTAGAAGTGTAGAAATTTGCCAGATCATAGGAAGGGCTCATGGCCAGAGAATGATTCTGCGTACTCCGACCCCTGCCGTTGGTCCTTAGTCTATTGGGCACTTGAAGCTCCTTCAGGGTTGGAAGAAACACTGATTTGTTATCAAGCCTCACCTTGGGTGTCTGTGGCAAGATGAGGTAGTGGAGGTAATAGTAAACGCTCAGTATTGATTTGTTCTAAGGCACAGTTTTATGATACTTGGGAGATCATATCTGTGGAAGCCCAGAGGCTGGATGCAAAGTCCTCATCCTGATCTCCATTTCAACTGGAAGAGATATAAAAGGAGATGGAGCAGGCAGACTCGGGCCCTTGGGGCTGGAGGAAGTTCCGGGAAGAGAGATATCTGCCCAAGGACTTAACCCCTTCCCACTTATTTTCCCATACAGTAAGTTCTAGGCAAAAGAGTTAAGAGAGCCCAGCTCTCTTCTACCTGTAAACATTTTACAAGTGAATTTACAAGTAAACTTATGAGTAAACTTTTTGGCACCACAGTTCTAGGCATGTGGTATAGTTGTCCTAATATTTCCCAACAAGTGAGTGCTTGTTAGAACTGGCCTTTAAGCTTGATCCTAACTTAAAAAGAAAGATTTTGGAGGGGAGAGGGACTTTCTTAACATCTTTATTGTGATATATTTAAGTAAATTCACTTGGAGAATCCAAAATATCCAGTGAATGAGCTTAGACAATAATGAAAGCCAAACTAAGTACTTGCTGGAATTCTATAGGTAAGACCTGGGGAAGGTTGCTCAATCTGAGACTTGGGGACAATTATTAGGGTAAGTTCACAGCTCTGACCTTTTCCTGAGGGGTTATGGGGGCTGGACAGAGGCCTTCTGTGCTTGACATTTTTGGTGTGATAGAGTAGGCTAAACTACTATGAAAAAGAACTCTAAAAGTACATAATGGATCAAATACTAAAGAAATGTTAAATTTCTTGTTAATGTAAAATAGTGGGTCATGAGTGTTAACGGTTGGGTGGGTGGCACTGTTCCATGTGAGATTCATTCACCAAACTTGCTTTATCTTGTGATGCTTGCTGTACACTAGGATAGTAGTAACAGCATCAAGCTGGCAGAAAAGTAAAGAAAACTTGGGGGAGAGCCGGGCGCGGTGGCTCAAGCCTGTAATCCCAGCACTTTGGGAGGCCGAGGCGGGTGGATCACGAGGTCAAGAGATCGAGACCATCCTGGTCAACATGGCGAAACCCCGTCTCTACTAAAAATACAAAACATTAGCTGGGCATGGTGGCGCGTGCCTGTAATAATCCCAGCCTGAGGCAGGAGAATTGCCTGAACCCAGGAGGTGGAGGTTGCAGTGAGCCGAGACCACGCCATTGCACTCCAGCCTGGGTAACAAGAGTGAGACTCCGTCTCAAAAAAAAAAGAAAAGAAAAGAAAAGAAAACTTGCTTTTTAAATCCTTACTTCATAGCTGAGATTCGTAATTTCCGCCCATTTTCTGTTGCTGAGAATAGCCATATGGCTAAACCTAACTAAAGAAGATTTTTTTTTTTTTTTTTTTTTTTTTTGAGACGAAGTTTCTCTCTTCTTACCCAGGCTGGAGTGCAATGGCGCGATCTTCGCTCACCGCAACCTCCGCCTCCTGGGTTCAGGCAATTCTCCTGCCTCAGCCTCCTGAGTAGCTGGGATTACAGGAACGTGCCACCATGCTCAGCTGATTTTTTTTATTATTATTTTTAGTAGAGACGGGGTTTCACCGTGTTGACCAGGATGGTCTCGATCTCTTGACCTCGTGATCCACCCGCCTCGGCCTCCCAAAGGGCTGGGATTACAGGCTTGAGCCACTGCGCCCTGCCCAAAGAAGGTTTTTTAAATGTCTAGCTGTATGAGTTGTATGCAATTATGTACAATCAAATTTCTTTTTTTGTTTGTGTGTTTT